GGAGAAAATACAATGGAAACTACTATAGTATATTGGGGTTATATTGGGCTTATATTGGGTTATATTGGGGTTATGATTGAAGGCTATTTCAGGCCCGGGGATCCATAGATTCACTAGTTTCTCCTTCACGGACATTTTGGGATGGGAAGTCGAGCTCTCTACTGTGTAAACCAGGTACTAAACCCACAACACCATGTCTTACTGCTTAGACTTGAAAGAGGACTTGCTCTAAATATTGCACCAGAAGTTCAGGGTTTAGGGTTTCGGGACCAGGTGAGCACTAGGGACATTGGTAGTTACATGTCGGGGTCTTGCAGAATTAGGCCCGCCTTTTAAAAGTCCCTATTGTTTGAAGGATTATAATATTTTGGGCTCTATATCGGGGTCCCCTTTGGGAGGAGGCTACCATGTTCCTATCACACCATTTTTACTGGTTGATAACCCAAAACTCTAGCGGCGACCCTAGGCGTTCCGTTTTGTTCATGACGAGGTTCACTGTTCAGGTGTGCTGTCTTGCGGGTGGAAGGTGCCAATTCAGCTATAGCGTAAACTCCTAGTAATAGTATCCCCCTTCTTAAACCCTGTTGTAGTCCCCTATGTCGGCATAGCTCAAATGGTGAGGGATTCTCCGAAATAGATCCACTTTGACTTTGGGGATCCTTCTACGGAATTCGTCTGGATTGCTGGGTGAGCTCACCGCAGGTAGAGTCGGCGGAAAGTCTCGGGTGGGATGGGACGACCCACCTTCACCCTACCCTCAATACCTATAGGATCCTATAAGAAAGTTTTTCAAAACAACCTGCACAAAATCCTTGATTTTCTCACCCTCATAATCCCGTCAGAACCCCTTTTGACCCGTGGGTCCATTGGAGCACCCCATTCTGCGAAACTACCACAGTGCAAAATGCCAAAACAGTGTGCGCAGGAGCGCCTTGATCTCATGTAAGAATGTCCAAAAAGAAGTGATGTGATCTAATGAAAAGGTTTAGCATGCAGTTTAGCACAGGGATTTCAGCATGTGATCTTCAAACTATCCTGGCACGTGGGGCCGATAGTGAGGACCCACATTTTAGAACCCAAATAACATGTTTAACAAATCATCCCGGGCGAAAATCGCTACCAAGCCACAACAGCACCGACCGAGCGGAGTCGGGGCTCTCTGTTTGCAGAAGCTGCGACGCTGGGTGGTCCTTGCGTCGCTCAATGATGGCGCCTGCCTGACTAAGAAACTCTGAAAATATCGTTAATCTCAAAACGCGTTGTAGCCCTCAAACATATGTAGCCTTTGTACAGGCACTTCACGTTTCCATGTACCGTCTGGTTTGCCTGTCTGGGTTCATATTGGGGTCCGCATGCCCCTAGTCAGAAAGTTGTGCAGAGAGGCGCTGTCTAACGTGGAAGGTAGGTCGGCCCAAATAGCCACAGCTGAAAGGCTCAAATGGACATCGGCAGACCAGGAGGCTGGTTATAGGCTTCAAGGGGGAAGCTGTGTGAAGATGCGAAGTTTTCTGTCATGTGTATTTCAACCGCTTCGGCTCCCACACAAACTGGCCCCATGTCTTGATCACTCTTCCACATCCTGACCCAGCAGTGTGACGATTCGCTTCTTCCACAAGGCCTCTCGGTGCAGGAGATTGTCAGAGAGGGTTCAGCTTCTGTGGGGCCAAAGAACTTATTTCTAGAAGCTCCGAAGGGAGTTGACACTCGGCTAGATAGGGAGACTAACTTGGCCGTTCAAATAGTAGAGCATAGTTCAACATATGGTGGTTCCATAAATAGGGATCCCTATATGTACCCCGTATGCAACAATCCTTATAACACGGCAACTTTGGGAAACCTCCATGTCCCTAGCTGGCTTGGGAAGCTTCAGCCCCGCCTCAACGGAAACCAGAGGCAAGTCAATGAGCGACATCGCTATACCATAAGATAATATCCTGCTTCCAGGAATTTCCGTAGTAGTCTCTCTGATATCTCTCCTTATCTCTAGACATCGGGCCCAATATTAAATACTCCCAGTATTTTATAATCTACCACATTATGGGAGTATTTAATATTAGGGGTGGGGGTTTAATAAGCGAAGAAAATCAAATGTACTCCATGGCATGAGAATCCTGACTGCCACTGCAGAAGTTCCCAAGGTAGGCATATCACCAAACACCAGTGCTACCTTGGGCTTAGGGTTTAAGGTTTAGCTATCGATTACAACTGAGATTCTTCCATACCCCAAGAACTCCGAACAGGAGCATGAAGGGCTTTGGCACAGAGATGTGAGCTTATCCCCTCCAAGGGTACATTATGCTTGCTGGAGACTTCACAGGATTTGCTGAACATCATTGCGGAAACCCTCAAGAATCCTCTTTCGCCATACCTTCCATGCGATCTGTCTAAAGCCTGATCCTACAGCTCAAGCCTCCAACCCATCTAATTCCCTTCCCCATCCACACTCAAAACCCATAATGCGTAATTATAGAAGGACTATACCATATGAGCTGGCAATACATTGGGCTTTCTTGCCTAGATCCCTTTCAACCCGGACTTGAGCGACTGCCGGAAGCCTAGATCCCTGAACCCTAAACCCTATAACCACTCTAGAATTCAAGTGCCATTCCGTTTCCCTGCTATAACCCCAAACCCTATACAACCCTTGTAACCTTCAAAAGAACCGCAAAAAAAAAGAGTAGGGATTTAGACAAATTTAGATCCACATTTCTCCGCCCGTTTCAAGGCCTTTAAGACCTAAACACACCTAAATCACCTCTCCCTCCGGCCCCCACCCGCTCCAAACTGAAGGCGCCTGTCTTCCCAGCTCACCCTCCGTCTGCGCACCGCTAAGTACGGGTCGGAAGGCCTGAAGTACTTATGAGCTACAGTCTAGACTCCTTAAGGGGGTTCTATAGGGGATTAGATTGGGGAGTATTGTAGGGATGATTAAAGCGAGACTAGAAGGCTATAGAGACCTACAAGTTCAAGCACGATTGCAAGTAGATTTTCAGAGCTGGCCCTATTTCAAATTGCAAAAAAAACATTTATTATATGAAAAAGCAGGACGGTTTAGGTTGGGTGAAGGGATGCCGGCAGGCCCGCAGAACTCGCACGCATTATCCTTGAAATCACCAAGAGTCCTTCAGAACATCTAAAGGGTCCTTGGGTTTCTGACTGGGTTAGCATGGTTCAGGTTTAGGTCCCTAGGGTATCCCAACTTTCAGAAGCTTCCACTAACGTCTGGGTGTCGATTGAGGGCCTGGGCTCTAACGCGCAAAGGGTGGAAGGTACAGAGGTTCAGGATTTAGGGTGTCCATCCGGGACTCAGGCGTTCCAGGTCAAGGCATCAGGGTTGCCGCTGCAAAGCTAAAGTCTCCTGGTCACTTCTTAAAGGTCAGGGCTCCAGAACGCAAGATTCCCTCTCAATGCGCCCAAGACACAAGGTAGTGCCAGAACCTGTCAGCAAAGTGCCATGCTCATGCTACGAATCGGGCTTTCTGTTGCTGCTCTCCTTAAAGGAAGCCGGAACCGCCAGGTTCTGATTTCTGTTTACTACCTGTCTTGTCTGGTATAGTGTGGCTCAGTAAAGGCTTGTCTTTGCCAGCATGGAACGCCCAGCTTGCTACAATACTTACTGGTTGTAAGTAGGGAATCGAGGAAGGGATCCTTTTTGTAGCTGAAATGCAACCCCCACCAAAAACAAGCTGCCATTTTCTGAAAACAGCCGACAAGCATAGCGCAACGCGAAAGTTCTGGGGTGGGGCAATCCTTCTGGGAATGTAAAATCTGCGATCCCTTGATTCAATGCACTTTCTGTTTGGATCATCAGACATAACAACCATTTGCCCTCAACCCTGGCGTCCTGAAATGCCTTCCACCCAACACACATCGGACAATAGCCCCAACCTTCAACCTTAAAATCGTGCACAGACTTTGTGTTTGGGCAGCCATGCTTTTCATCAAAGGGAGTGCTTTCCATGCATTGCCTCAAGGGGGTCACTTTGTTGTAGGCATTCCAACTTTCTGAAAATGCCATATCACACTGGAGGTATATAGTAGGGGGACCTCCTGCATTTTCAGAAACTCCCCTAGTCTATGTACCACTTGGAGGGCTTCAAAGAGCTGGCTGGCAGACGTATTACGAAACAGTACTCCACCATTACCAGGAACAAAGTCGACGAAAGTATATAAGTTATAGGTGAAAGACTACTCATTGCGGTACGCAATGGGAATTTGCGTCGTATATAAAGTGAGGGACTCTGGGATAGTATATCATAGTAGTTTCCATGTTCTTCTCCATTACCCCTCTATATATATATATAAAACCCGATATACCCTGGTAGTTTCCAACTTCTTTTCCATTATCCCTACATATAATCACCTGGCTTTTCCCTACCTAGGAGCTGGTTGGTATCGCGCTGGATCATGCCCATAGTGCTGTCCATCTCTGCTTCAGGATAAACTTTGAGCTCCTGCCGCGGCAGCGCACCAGAAAATCTTCTAGGAACGCTGACTGACTTTTAAAAGGGGCTTGTTCTCGCAGTGATGGGCCTGTAGTGGGTTGGTTTGGGGCTCCTAGCTTCGAGGGAATAGGGGCTTGAAACCTCTTCAGGCTAAAGACCCTCAATGGACAATGGCCTCAAACACGGCATACGGCCCCGGAAAACCACCGTGACAACCTCCCAGGTGCGGCGTTTCATGAGAGCTACCTTGAACCTTGGGATTGCAGACAAATCTAGCGTCTTGGAAAGCCTACTGGTCAGGGGGGGAGGGGGGCCAGTAATGGAACCTAGGAATTTAGAGCAAGCCCTACAAAATCCTCAGCAATGGTCCCTTTATAATACCCCCTTGCACAAGTCGGCCTCACGAGGAATGCCTTTTGCATCTATGATGGCCAGGAGGACCCTCACGCGTGTGCCCCAAACCCAGATGCTGAAAAGCGGGGCCCCGCAGGCATAGAGCAGATTTCGGAAATGGCAAATACGAACAACAATTCCTCACGTTACTTAGAACGGCACAGGATTGATTCCCAGGTACATAGCCAGCTACGAAGCACCATATGCTCTTTGCGCCCTGCCTCGGCGCTGGCATCTTGCGGTATGGCCTGCAACAAGGAGATCAAGCAGCACATGTAAGCAGAACGCAGCAGGGTTGCGCAGGATCCATGCTTGGGAGGGCTGAGGATCTAGGCCGATTTAGGTGCTGTGGTGCCATGTTAGTAGGGGGAGCTTGGCAGGTGCAATGCCAAGATGAACCATTAAGAGCCATAAGGGGGTCCAGGCCCCGAAGCCCAATGCCCATGAGGCAGTGGAAGGTTTCAAACAGCTTTTCGAAGCAAGGGTGCGAATTAGAAAGTAAGCCACAACATCTGCAGTGATGCTGTCAGGAAGCAAGACCTGGGCGTTTGCAGAAAAAGGGGTGGAAAATCAATTGTGCTGGGATCCGCCTCATAATGACCAACCGACAGAGGACCAACAGTATTGAGAAACCCCTTAAGGCGTTAGGATCCGAAGCTATGGCCCTTCGAACAACCAGTGCTTTGTAGTTCGAGGCTCTCCCCTCAACTAGATCACCCAACAAAGCCGGTATTCTTCAGAGACAATCCAGCTTCACTCGGGGAATCCCCCAGGCGCCATGATTTGAGGGGCTTACCGACGGATCGACTTGCAAGTGTTGGCGGAATTGCAGCAGCGGGCTGCAGCGGAATTCTACAGCTCCACAAGGTGCCACTGGCGAGTTCATGGTTTCAATGCTCATCTGTGCACCCTAACTAGCAGCAATAAATTAGCAATATATGCATCCCAACATATCGGGCCCGACTGTCTTGGGCTTGGCAAAGGGTACATGAGCTCTGGCTGCTTCTTGCTAAATGCTCCCAGAAGAAGTCCCCGCCTCATAGGCGCTCCTCCTGCCCGGAGTGTGACGTCTCAAAGCCTGCAATGCAGCATGGGGCTTAGGGTTTAGGGCACTGAAGAAGTGACGAATCAGGGAAGCTGTCTGGAAATCTTTGTTCCTGCAGGCTTTCGGTCTGAAGACTACTGAAAAGCTTCTATGAAGGAACAAGCCCAGGAGAACCTTTTTGGAATGCTTATGCTACGGCTCCTCAAATTTCAATACCAAATGGCGCAAAATGCCGCCCATAACTTGGGTTGGGCCCCCGCCCACTAATAGTGGTATATTAGGAATATATAAGGACCCTAATATAGTCAGAAATTACCTTTTGGGGTCACTATTAGTGGGTGGGGGCCCAACCTAACCCATAACTCCAACAAGCAAACCAGCCTTCCGCAGGAAGGATCGGAACTCTGCGATGTGGCCCTCAAAGAATGCCCAGTGCACGTGGTCTACATGGCCGTGCTTCATGACCTGGGGGGGAAGACATTCTTCGCATCAGATCTGGGACACTGGATTTGGGAAGCCTCCTACGCGGTGTCATCAAATCTGCAGGGTTGGAGCATGCAGCATGCGATGCACAATGCTCAACTAAGCTCCTCTCCCGAATATTGCAATCCCACCCTAGTAACAAATACCCCCCAATATACATGCCGCATACATTAGGTGGAAAATTCATAATTAGAGGGAGAGGGGAGGGTGTTTGTACGGTCGAAATCATGGGCCCCTAGTATGGGCCCTTATTCTTGGGATCCTGACATACCTGTTGTATACCCTATATTTGCCCTTGAGGGTCCCTAGAGTCCCCCTGGAAGGCCTAAGGGCCCGAATGGCCCATAACTGTAGGGCTCCATTGTTATCAGGGGCAGGGGCTCAAGAGATTCAAATATCTTGCCGGCAAGCCGGAACTCTTTCGGAGATGCCGGTGTCCCGTGCACTAGTCCCTCCCCGAATAACAAAACCCTTCCCGCCGCCCAACCATGAATATCACATATAGAGTATCATGATTTAATAGGGCGACTTAGCGCCATTGTTATAATGTTAGTATGATGAGTATTGCTGCTTTACTCGCTCCCCAAAACGCTAACCCCCCCCCCCACCCTCCAATATTGGCCTCAAACCTCAGCAAATCGCCCACAGCCCGGAAGCACCCCAGCAACGGGGCCCCGGAATGCTGCCTAGCGACCATTCCCTCCGCAATAGCTGCCGGAATAGGCAGCCAACAGAAGTAGTCCTGGAGCAAAAGGGGCCGGGAAAAAAAACTGAGAACTGAGAGTCTAAGCAAGTCTTTAGCAGACTTCTCTTGCCGCAAAGTTACCTGTTACCTAACTCAAGTGCTCAAGACCCTCCAAAGTTGAGCCCCATGTCCAATCTCAGTCTGACGCTCTAACCTCAAACTTCCCCGACCCAAGAAACTGTACATGTACAGGCAAAGTTCATCAGAAGACTGGTCACAGCGGCCCCTGGCTAAACCACAGCAAGTGTGGACCCAACACATCCATGTCACACAAGCTTCAGCGGGGAGCCTTGCACGAGCCGCCTCTCCATTTTGGCAAACTCTAAGGTCAAAACCATAGGCCCCTAGTATATGCTCTATGTGTACCCCTAACCCCCTAAGGGCCACTAGAATCCACCCAAAAAGGCTCAAGGGCCCATTTTAGGGACCCATACTTGAAACCTTAGATTCGATTTGAAGAAAATCGCAAAGCTCGAGCCCTGTGCCTGAAGGCATCGGCCTTCCACCCTACCTGTGAAATTTAGGGGGTTAGGGCTTAGGGTTTAGGGTCCGCATGAACTCTAATACAGCCCAAATACCTACCAATCTATATAGATGCATGTGGCCGATTCTGAGAAATACTGTGCTCAATAAACCCTTAAGTCATCTACGCCCTGCCGTAGAGACCCAGCAAACATGAAAATCTTTAAGAATCCCTATTCAAGACCCCCAAAACCTGAGTCTTGTAAACTTGGGATCTGACCCTTGATCCTTCAGCACTACTCAACTCCCAAACCCTACGCCCGAAACAGCAACAACCTACTGCTATTCTGCCCTCTTGTAGCCCCTATATTTCCCCTTGTAGCCTAAAGCCTTCCGTGTTCCTTTCCATGCCTTCATTCCCTGACCCAAACCCCCTAAACCCCTAAACAACCAGCAAGTAAAGCCACTTCTTCAAGCGCCCTCAGCTCCTCGAAGTGAACCGGAGGCACCAGGGGCGGTTTGTTCCTTCATTGTCCAGCTCAGAAGTCTCCCAAAAAACTCGAGACTTTGTTTGGCTGGAGATACCTTATAGACTTATAGCCTACACGCGATGTAAGCACTCCAGGAAAAAGTTCCTCGGCTTGAACAGCCAAGATTCTTCCAGAACTTTGATGTCTCGGAGCAACTCGGACAAACCTGAGAAGCCGGGGGAAGCTAAGCTCTTAAATTGGGTTTAGGAGTTTAGGGAGTTTAGGGTTGAAAGGTGCATTTCTCAGACTGGGTCTCTCCCCTAAGAACCTGTACGTTTTGGGTGTAGGGGGGGACCTGCTTAGGAGCTGGAGTTTGCACCAAGTTGTCTTGCGCGGATGGAAGCTGAGGTTGCATCTCTTGTGGCTTCCCCATGCCGCTCGTCAAGCAAACACTTCGTTCTGCATCTTTCTGCCCCAAGCCCTAAAGCCTAAAACCCAACCCTAAAAGGTAGTTGCGGAGTTCGTCAAAGCATTAGATCTTACTTTGTGCTGGCCTTGTTCCTACCCTTTGTTTCTCGGGGCGTCCATACAGGACACCATAATTATGCCATGCGATAGCGTCTGTCGCCAAAAGCAGTTTGAGGATTCCTCTTCGAAGGACTGCCACTACAATATGCGAGGGGTGTATACCATACAAGGGAGAGCGCAATTTCTGGAAGCTCCCATATCCCAAGGCCCTAAAGCCTACCTGGACCTCCCCAAATACCCAAACTAATGGTGTACTTATCATTTTGGGGTCACGGGTATTTGGGAAATCAAAGTAAACCCAAAAAAGTAGTGAAAATTGGTGGTTGTCAAAATTATGGTCCCTTTTTGGGTCCCTATTATAATACGGCACCTAATATTTTGGGTACCCCAAAAAGGACCATAATTTTGACAACCCCCTAAATAGACTGGCCTTGGCCAGTGTCCTCCGGAGCATGCTGCGGCGATTTTCGCACAGCCTGGGCTATGAAGCTGCAGCTGGGGGTTTACGCCTCAGCGTCGTGTCTTACAGATGACTTCCTTCTGCTTAGTGTAGCTCAGGTGCTGTGTGAGGATTTGTAGACTTGGATTCCGTGGGCGGAGTTTTCTTGCAGCCCTGCTCCCCAACTCCAATGAAAGATGCTAGGGCTTATTCGGCTCCCTATCGGTTCTGTACTGAAGGAGACCGTTTTGCCCACCCGGATTGGAAACACAACTGCCCAAAGCTCCTCCATATGTGTATACATATGTATATAGATACAGATGTACATTCATAATATACACCACTTACATGGCACTCTTATGCATATGGAAGTAGACCTCCCCCCCCACACACACCCCAAATCTCCGCACCCTACAGCTCCCGCGGCAGGTAGCTCGATGGCCAGTTGAGCACCCACCTCTAACTCGTGCAGCTGCGCAAGGAGGTTGATGTCCTCGCATGCACAACTCATCCCCTCCCCCCAGTTATGCCTAGCAAAACCCACCCCTGTAGCAATACATATGCCCTCACTTATCTCATAGTACTAGAACATTTGGAGAACTTATTTTCTGCGGAGTGGGGTAATTGGGGGAGGATTACACAAGCTCCCACTGCGGGAAAGCATATTAGGATGACGTTAGGATTGCTAAGATGAAATGTAGACGTAGAGATTGTTCAGGAAGGGTATGACGGTCTATCAACAAAAACATATGGCCTCTTCTTGGGCGGAGATTTTTGTTTCACCCTTTGGCAAAGAACTAGTCAACTTCCTTTTAAGGCTGCTGATGCTTACAAGGCACGGTGCTAGATTTTTAGGGCCGTGTGTTGGTATGATGGAGCAAAATACCCCTGGTTCGCTATGTCAGGTGACAAAGATCACAAGTCCCATTAATCGTTAAAATCTCTAGTTTAATCTACATACTCCAATACTGAAAAATTCCTATTCTAATCCCTTTTTTTTGAGACCACAGAAATGCCCTTCCATCCAGCCGTCCGTATCGTCGTCGCCCACCGGGTTCTCCATCATCTCTGCCAGGCGCTCGAGACCCGACATGGCCTCCACTTTCCGGGCTCTCGATAATTTGTTTTTTTCTTATCGGGCGTTTTCTCCAAAGCGGTTGCTTCTCGATAGGTTTAGGGTTTGGGGTTAACCTGCCAAAGAGTACTGCCCAAAAAATAGGGGGGAGGAGGGTTGTGATGAGCAAACGCTTATTATGTAAAGCCATGCTTGGACACCCCAGTTCAGGGGGTTGGGGCTTCAACGGTTGCATGGCAGAAAGAAGGCTTCAACGTGTGCATCGCGCTGCAATGCACAGTAAAGCAAGATTTACACGGGGTCTGGGGCTCTCTGGAGTCTAATTCGAGAATGGGGCGTAGGCATCATTGCGGGGGACTGATCAGAGGCACTAGTTGAAAGATCATTTCCCGCATCAGGATTTCCGATAACACATCCTTTGGTCTTTGGTCATCTTGAAATCTGGAACTGGGGTAAAGGTCCGTGTCGATGCCGGAAAGGCGTCATGCAATCCAAGCTGGGGTTGTGATAGCTAACATGTTGTCACAGCCCAGTTGCCCAATAGATGACAAAGGGGAACACGATATTGTCGAAGATGCTGCCGATCAGGTCCTCCACCAAAGGCTCTGCATGGCAACAATAACAAGACAAAAGAGCATGTCTGGCCAGCAGCTCTCAAATCGTCCGAGCAACTTAGGCCCTACCAGAAGCAGTTCCGGCAAGTATGTTGAATTGGTCGCACGACTTTGTTAGGTAAAGCCCTGAACCCTAAACCTTCCCTGTTTTGCAACCTTCCCTGCTCTGAGCCCTAAACCCTAAACCATAAGCCAGTAAGCCTGCGATCCTGCACCTTCACCTATGCATTGTACACCTCACTGCAGGGAAACGGCTGGAGATTCCGAGGCCAGCCTCCTAAACAGCCAGAGTCAATGATCCCTAGGAATGTACAACCTAAGCCCTAAACCCTTTAAAGGGATGTATAGGGTTATATAGGGATGATTAGAGTTTAGGGTTTAGGATTTAGGGCAGCCCCAGGCGCAGTCCTCTCCAACCTCTGTAACCAGTGGCAGCATGAAGCTGAAGATCACCACGATCACGCGACAATGCCTTGCCAACATGCACTGAAGACCCCCTCGAACCGTTCAAAACAGTGTGCAGTATCTTGGTGATGATTTAGGACTTGCCTAGGCAAAGCCAAAAAGAGTGAAAAAGCTGCTCGTACGCATAGGTAGTCAGTAAACCCTGGCCGCATGCACAATCTCCGCCCCTTCCAGGCAAGAACATACAGAACTTCCAAACAGGTTTCCAAAGTTGTGCGATGATGAATAGGGACTGAATGAAAGCGACTCCACCAGCCGTATGTTATAAAGCCTGGAGTGAGCGATCACTGGGACCTCCATGCATGCCCTCAGGAATCGACTGGCAACGGCCAGGCATCTTCGGGCCGGAATTCCTAGCAAACACCTGCAACTTCAAAGATTATCATAAGCCCCTGAATCCCCAGAAAAAGGATCTTATTATATTGGGGTCTATATTGGTGCCCTCTGCTTATAGAAGCCCTCATGCGACTTTCGTGCCACACTACATTTGAATGCTAGATTGAAAAATTCTAAACCCTACTTCTTCTGCTGGCGATGCCCACTTCCGAAGAAGTGTGCTAGGGCTGCGCCCCAAAGCCGCGCTCTCTCTCTTCTTCTCCGGGTGCTAAGGGAGCCTACACTCCCTTCGGGGCACTGCCCCGCACCCCGCACAGGTCCGCAGCAGTTCCAGTCCTGACTCCAGTGCCCTATAGTATGTGACCTAGCCATGGCATGTCATCGACCCCTGTCCTGCTCCACCACCTACTTCAAGCCTACTAGTCAGGAGAACGACAGGCTCTTAGCAACTTTAGGCAGGTCATAGGCTATGTACAGCGGTACTTCCCCTGTCGAGACTTCAACTTATGACGCAGCAAAGGCCTTGCTTTCGAAGGGTTGCGCCCCTTTACTTTGGTTTTGCTCTTCCCCTCTTCAGGTTGACCCCTCCCGGTAAGGATGGCAACAAACAGCGTAACTGTGGCCAAAACAATGGAAGCCTGGGAGCCTTTTGAGGTTGGAGGTGGGTCCGCATCCTATCGCTACATGCCACGATCAGTCCTGCAGGCTAGTCACAACCGCCTGACTCTCTCTCTCTCTTCCTCTCACGTGCTCACGCGGACCTGTCAGCCCTAAACCCTGGATCCTTTTTGCAGTGGGTCTCACCCAACTTGCCCGCCCGGGCGCTTATGCAAGAAACCCTAGATCCTAAACTCCAAATTCTTGGAAACTGTTAAGCAGCGAGTTGCTGATAGTATGCCAGGGAGACCGGTCGCGCAATGAGGCCGGACCTCCACGACCGTGAGCTTTTCGGGGGCTTAGGGGTTCAGAGCTTAGGGATAAAGAGGGATTGTATAAGGTTTAGGGACAGTACCCCAATTTTGGGGAATCAAATGGAAAATGGGCTTATAGGGATGGATACTTCCTTCCCTGCATCATCAAAATCCCTAACCCGTATACGTTCATGAGTATAATATTGTTTAATACCAGCGGGAAGGGGGCATTGAAGATTTTCGGAGGTGATTATTTAGAATTCCGAAGCTTGAAGCAAATACTTGACCCGACTGATGGTCACTCAAACTTCCAGATTCGAATTACCCACCCAAGAGCTGAACCCCTCAGTAGCCCTGTGCCCCACACCCCCGGCCACCCGCATCGTAGCTCCTGGAATGGCTTAAGCCCCAGTCTAAATTCCGGCGGAGAGCAGGTGAGTCAGCTGGTCCAAAGCGTCAGCAGATATGCTGGCAATGAGATTCAGCACCCGCTCTGGGTACCTGGGTCCAACAAAAACAGGTTGAGGAATCTGACTGAGTCATAGTCTAAACTCCTAGTATCCCCTTAATAATGACCTGGGTCTATAGTAGTCGCTTATATAATCCCTTACATATAACCCCCTTTTTAAGGTGTTCAGATTATGGCACAACTCGGCTTAGGACAACTGCCCTTGTCAGAGCCCATGGTCGGGGATGCTTGCAAGTTGGAAAACAAAACTAATTATTTGGTAGTTTTCCAAAACAGGGGACCCCAATGTAAACCCAAAAATGCTATCATCTTTATGATGGGGATACCCAAAAAGGTACCCTAATTTTGGGAAACTACCGTTTCTAGGGCTACCTTTCCATGCTGTCCCCACATGGTTACGAGCGGGGAACCGGGTTCTAGAGCTTACAACCGGAAACAAAAGAGCATCTGCCAGCTAAAATTCCCAAACCTTGAGCTTAAAAAGTCGAATTACCTCAGAATCAACACCAGCACCTAGTTCATTCCCAACCTCAAGAAGCCATCCCAACTGCTTGCCCGGACACCCCCACTTCTGAGCCAAGGGGGTGTGGCACACCTCAACGAGCATGCTCAGGACGACCTGGCAGAGCAGAAGTCTCTCTCCGCGTTCTCGAGTTCGGGCATCCGCCAGCGCAACTACAGGCACATGACACTCACTCAGCAGTGCAATGTCACTTCACAGCAGCATGTCGCCGCATTACCAGGGCCCTGCAAAATCAAAGTTCACATGACACTCTGGAAATCCACTGGAAGGGAACATCACTGTACTGAGGAACCACTCCCTAGCCCATAGCATGCAGACTACTGTCGGAAGCAAAAAAATGGAGCAAAAGGCGTCCTTCCCTTAATCATTCATCCCATGCCTGGAGCATTGGAAAAACCGTTTCGAAGTACGTTAGTACGTAACACTTACAACCGCGCGCACAAC